TTTGTCCCCTCAGGCGATGGTTTGCCTGCAAAATCCGCTCAGTGGTGAGCCTGCTCATTGACACCTGAGAAGGCATGACTCCTCCCAATAACTAGCCAGGTGGACCAGGGAGCCCGGCTACCATTCCCAGCAATGGGACCCATCGCGGACCATCGGCACATATACCAAGCCCTTCTCTCATGACTCAAAAGTCCACTGCAGCCTAGGAGGGTTGTTTCCCAGAAGAAGAAAAGGATAGGCTTGTGCCCCGTTAACCCAACCGGGAAAACTCACTTTCTTCCAAGGTTCTTTCAAGGAAGGCTCAGCAACTCTGTATCTCATCCTTTTTGATTTGCAGGATAATTTGGGGTTTTGAATTTTGATTTTTCATAGATGTGTATTATTTTGAAAGTATCCAAATAAAAATGGTTTATTTTACTATTACTGATTATTGCAGTAGTGTCACCGAGCAGAGGGGACGCTAGGTGAAGACGAGAGCCGTTTTCCCCTGGGCCCCGATGGGCCCCGCAGCTTTCCTGCGGGCGCTGCTGGTGGCCCTCGGGCTCACACTGCAGCCAGGGCAGCCCAGGGGTCTGGACGGTGGGGACTGTTTAGGGTTTCCTGCCAGACAGAACTCCTTTAAGAAAGTGAACGTCCACGTAGAATGATTAAAGGGAAAGTCGCTGCTTATGATGGTCTGAGCTGGATTTTCTTTTCCTTTTGTTTTTTCAAATCTGAGCAGAGGGACCTCCGCTACCGCAGCAGCAGCAGCAGCAGGGGTGGGGTAAGTCTGTCCCCTTAGACTAGCGCCTAGCAGGCAGTAGACAAGAGTTTTGTTTAATGAACTGGGACTTCTATGATTTTTTTTCCTGAAGAGTTTTACAGGCTCCTAGCGTGTTAAATGAATTCAGTGGTGCCAGAGAGAAAATACGGTCATAAAGGCTGGACAAAGTATAGTTACCAGACTTCACGCTCACTACCTGAGCACCTATGAGATGCAGACAGCAGTGCTCATTTTGTACACAGTAGATACTCCCTCCCCCCAGAAAGGTTACTTGGATTTATATTTTAACAGAAGAATATTATTTTCCTATCTACTCATTTTGTTTTTACTTTTACGGATTAAGAAAATAGAACTTGATAAACTAAAAGATGCAAGACAGAAACTGATCCTAAGGAAAAAAAACACCAGAAAATTCCATGATCCACAAACAAACAGCCTTGGAAGGGACAAGGAAATTCTATGTAGTAAGATTGCTAAGAGAGGCCTACAAAAGATCTTGAGTATGGCAGAGACCAACCCAGAGCTATCGAGTGCTGCCCCCCAGGGTCCTCCTCTGCAGCAGGAAGGAAGCTGTAGCAAGCACCTGCCATCTGGGCTGTAGGAGTCCTGCAGCTGCAGAGTGACACCAAGGGTGAGTGTAGTCCCTAGACCCAGGCTCTGCACCTCTAAAAACCTATCACACGCAGACCTGTTTTCCTCTCAGGGAGAGATCTAGATCTCTAAGTCACCTGGGACCTGAGAACTTAAGGATGCTCACCGGACGTACTCCTGGGACCCACAGGACAGCAGACGAGCTACTGACATCCTAGGATGTTAGACAGCTCAAACGCAGGGCTGAGTCAAGTGTAGATTTCATCTCCCCTCACAGCCACAGAAAAATCAGAGTTTGGAGGCAAAGGGACAGGGATTTGTATAATTTGAAGGACGCCCTTTTTATCTAGACCACAGGCCCGCAAACGCTTACTGGGAAGTACCAGATCATCATTTCTCGTTTTGGTTTTGCAGACCATACTTGGTCACAACTGTTCAACTCTGTCGTCATAGCACAAAAATAGCCACAGATGACACACATGTGAAAGATTATGGCTGTCTTCTAACAGAACTTCAGAAAAACAGCCAGCCATGGTCTAGACAAGCCAACTGACCAATATGTAGCAGGAAGAGGCGCTGCTCTGTTCCTGTTCCCGGCATGTTTGAAAGACCCAGGACCATTTCCCAGTGGAGACACTGGGGCTGCTTGTACACAGGGTGCTCAACCAACCAACCAGCTGAGACGTCTGACACCAAGGTGAGCGAGATGAAGTGTCAGGACACTAAACTGTGGCAATTCTAAAGCTACAAGTGGGCCTACCTGATCATTCCCATACCAGCAACGATTTGGGCAGAATTTTAAAAAAACACACGTACTCACCAAGTGACAAGACAACTGAGGGCAATCCTAATAGAGATTAGGGATCACTTCAACTAGCCACTGCCACTTGTCATCTACACAGCAAAGGCTTCACTTAGCACAGACTCAAGGGAAAAGTAGACCAGAGATGGAAAGGCTGTCAGGAGACAGGCTGGTGTTAACGTGGATTTCTACTGTCTTATGCAACATAGCAGATTACCTTCTAGTGTAGTGCTCCTACCTCAGTCTGTAGAATACGGTGTCTCTATGCAGTGAGTGATAGATAGCCCGCCTCTGACCATGCATATCCACACTGGAGAGGGGCCATTTTCCTTTGCCTGGTGTGTTACTCGTGTCTAGATTTCTAACAGTGCAGTAGTCCATACCATCCTCAACAGCTGGACAGAAATTTCCAGGCTATTTTTTCCCAGGGCTTATCCCAGAAAATATGATAGAAAATTTTTCATCAATTTGCTTTTCAAATAGTGCTGGCATAACAAACTTCCTTTGTTGACTAGTCTTTATTTTTTTTTTTAAATCTCCCCATCATTAAATTGTTCCTGTTTTTAATGGTTTGTTTCTTTCTTCTTCTGTGTTCTTTGTCTCTCATTTCCTTGAAATTAGTTTTATCTTGCCATAGAAAAAGCAATGGTTTGCAGAGTGGCATCTAGCAGAGGAAATAATTGATTGAAAAACAACAGACTGCATTGTTTAGCAGTGAATGGTAAACTACCTGCAAATGTGAATTTCTTAGTTTCATTTAAAAATATATAGTTGTTAACCTTTGTGTGCCAAAAACTCTAAGTTACACTTTCCTTCAAAGCAATGTACTTTTTTCTACATATGCAGTATGTAGTTAGCATAAAAATCATTGGTGCCATGAAGATTATTTTTAAACTTAAATAAATATTTAAATACCATGGAAGAGTGAGCTTAATTTTTTAACCCTACAGACTTTCAGTTAACAGTTATTATGAATGCCTAAATAAAAGGATATCAGGTAGGGTTATACAGCTGAGTTGTGCACAGTGGGGATCTATAAGGCAACTTCTGCTTATATAAACATTTATAATCACCTTACCCCCAAAGTACGTACTGTTAGAAACTGAGAAGCTACTGCTCATCTCTATCCACCTCAATGAGAACTAGGAAGTCACCTAACAAAAAGCTGGACGACTCCAAGAATATAACTGCAGTGTTATTCAGCGCTTATGAGCTTAGGTAATCCCAAAGGGAAGGAGCAGTCGTAATGCACAACTATAGAAGCCACACAGTCTTAAGCCAGTCTCCAGGAGTCCCTTTTGCTACAGATTACAGTTTAAGAATGTCCTAAAGGAGGCCGTTTTTCATTAAGTGCTTTCTAGATTTACACCACTATTGTATAAAGCTTATCACCAAGAAACAAATCCCTAAGTAGGTCTCCTTCCTTCCTTCTTTGCCTTCAGAAGATACAACTCTATCAAGTCAAATTGGATATAAAAAGCATAGTATGGGAAGCTATAATAGCAAAAGAAAACACAAAAGTCAGAAACATCAGGAATTCACTAATGTTTAATACAGAAGCCAGGCAGTGATTGTGCAAGTACTCAAAGTTTCGGCAGCAGTGCTAATTTCATCAAGAATAGTTTCCAGCATCTTAAAAAGAACAATTCCCATGCCAGGCACAGGTGTTCACACCTGAAATCCTAGCTACTCAAGAGGCTAAGATTTAAGGATCATGGTTTGAAGCCCAGGTAAGCCCATGAGACGCTTATCTCCAATAAATGACCAAAAAGCCAGAAGTGAAGTTGCGGCTCAAGTGCTAGAATGTTATACCAGGACCCAAAAGTGCAGGGACAGTACCCCAGGGCTTGAGTTCAAGCCCCAGGACCAGCATGTGCACGTGCACACACACACACAATCAACTCCCAAAGCTTTCCTTTATATTTCAACTTCTCTTAGCTTTTCTTCCCATTTCATAAATTAATGTGTATTTCATAATTTATTACCTAAGAAACTCATTTCCTTATTAAACACAAATTAAAATTAGTTTTTTAAAAGCCTCAAAACAGACAACAGAGAAGAAAAGTATTTTTAGAAAAAAACTGCTTAAGCCAGGTGCCAGTGGCTCACGCCTGTACTCCCAGCTACTCAGGAAGCTGAGATCTGAGGACCTCAGTTCAAAGCCAGCCTAGGCAGGAAAGTCCATTGAAGCTCTAATCTCCAAATAAACATCAGAAAACCAGAAGTGGCACTGTGGCTCAAAGTGGTAGAGCACTAGCCTTGAGCAAAAAAGCTCAGGGACAGTGCTCAGGCCCTGAGTTCAAGCCCTGTAACAGACAAAAAGGAAAAAAAAAACTGCTCAAGGAAAATAACCATTTTATTTCTGTGACATGCATTTATAAAAAGATATTCCTTATAATTCAAACATACTGGCTAAACTATATAAGAATGATGCAAAAGGTTGGTAAGTGTTATACAGTAGAGGTAGTCTGATTTAGTAACTCTGATTTAACAGCAACAGATACACTTTGAAAAGGAAACCCATTACTAAAAAAAAAAAGAGACTGGCAGCAAAGCTCAAGTGGTAGAGCACCTGGCTGGCAAGCCAGGTGGGGTTGGGGGACCTTAAACCTCTGTAGCACAAAAAGAAGAAAACAAGCCAGGCACTGATGGTTCACGCCTGTGATCCTAGTTACTCAGGAGGCTGAGATCTGAGGATCACAGTTCAAAGCCAGCCGGGGCAGAAAAGTTTGTGAGACTCTTATCTCCAATTAACCACCAGAAAAACAGAAGTGGCGCTGCGGCTTAAGTGTTAGAGCGCTAGCCTTGAGCTGAAGAGCTGAGGGACAGCGCCCAGGCCCAGAGTTCAAGCCCCACGACTGACCAAAAAAAAAAAAAAAAAAGATGAAAAAGTTACAGTATTTTACAAATTCCCAAAATATGAGTAGCTGGATCCCCTATGATAAGTTTAAAGACAGAACAGTCCAGAGGGGTCAAGGGGGCTGGCTGAAGCTTTCAGATCTAATGAAAAAATATATATACTTTTTTCACCAGAATACATAAATACATACCTACATGTGCACATGAAACTGTTACAGAATTGTATTGATTGGAATTATGCTTTCTGGTTTTGTTTTTAAATTAAAACACTAATTCTGACCATTAAACCGACTCCACTTGGAGAGCTACCACCTCTGGTCTGAGGGTAATCTTACACGAGAATCTGTGATCAGGCCACAAATGTACCTATGGCTTAAGGCCCTGGCTGTATCTCATGACCCAACCAGTAGGGGAAGAAAGGAACGCTCCACACAGAACCCCAGGCCCTGCTGCTGGTGCGCTAAGCTTGTCGGAATTCCGTATCATATTTAAGAGGCAGGAAAGGAATCAGTTAAAAACACAAGTTCCAGCAGGAGGTAGCAGCACCTGCCCCCACATGCGAGCAGCAGAAGGCAGAGGCAGGCAAGGCAGGACTGAGAGCCAAAAGCCGGGGCTACATCGTGAGAGCTTGTCTCAACCGAAACAACCCGAGAAGCATGAAGTTTGAGAGCTGGAGATGGAGCGCAGTAGTACTTATCCAACAACAGGTGCCAACAGGCCTTGAATTCAAAGAAAAGCCTAACTTCTAAAATCACTGAGTTAAATAACCTTTCAGGACCCCTCCAAACTATAAAATAAACCACAAATCTGTCACTGTCGCTAACAGTCATTATTCAAAGCTTTGAAGTCTGTCACATTAGAATTTCTCAACATACTACCCAATTAAAAGTGCTGAAAGCTTCTTAGCTCTTTCTGTAGAAACTCCAAGTTATCTCCATTACTAAAGTATACTCTGCTGGTAGTCCTTAATGAAGCCATTTTATATTTGCTAAATATAACATAGTACAAAGGAAACACACTGCCACATGAATCACTACATTCTTCCTAGACAGAGATCAAGGTGGGCAAATAGATGTACCTACCCCAGGAACTCGGCAGCTTTCCTAATCCATAAACACATGTAACTTCCCACTGGAGTTACCTCCAGCCAGAATGTACCGAGTAGGGTGCATGGCATTGATGGAACACACAGAGGCAAGGCCTTCTCCAAGGAAGGAATGCACCATCTTCCCGGTCTCATGGAAGATGTTGACCTGACGTGGATGGGCCATGCTGCCAACCATGAAACAGCCTTCTTGTTTAGGGTCCCACTTGGCTTGGAATCTTGTCAGCCATCGTCCAGTGATGGTGTTGTGTCTAGCGAGAAGGAAAATAAAGGAAAAAGAAACCAGTTTTTTCAAAGTGTTCAATAATTCAAGGTAGTATTGAATAGAAAAAAATAAAGACAATAGAAAGGTGGCAACACATCCCCTCCCAGAATAAACAGGCATCAGGCAAGCAAGCTATCTGCAGAGCCACGACAGCAAGTTACACCCTTCTTCAATAAGACACTGTGAGTACCTCAGGTCAGAATAGTCACTAACCTTAACTAAAATTAACTTCCACCTGCAGAGAACAGCTAAGCACCGACAAGACATTAAACCTCTTTATAGATACATAGATCCCGGAAGCAAGAGCTCTCCCTGATAGGAGCAAAAATAGCTCCTATTTTATGTTACACAAGGCAACACAAAAATCAGGGTTATTACATCTCTTTGACATGCAGATGTCGAATCTGCAACTTCCAAATATCACCATTACTGCTCCAAGCAGCCCTAGATCCACATTAGATGTAGACACCTACCTGATGGTGGTGAGGAGAGGAATCTGGGAGGAGATGCAGCTGCTGTCAAACACGCTGAAAAACAAACACCAAGAAGAGACTAACATGGTTGTCTTGGTTTTGAAATTTGTGTGAAATAACAGGGTACTTCAGATACTCATTGATTCATGGCAGAAAATATAAAGGCATTTTAAAATATGCATCAACAGGGGCTGGGAAGGTGGCTCAGTGGTAGAGCGCTTGCCTTGCATGCCTGAGGCCCTGGGTTCGATTCCTCAGCACTAACATAAGCAAAAAAAAGAAAAAAGCCAGAAGTGGCGCTGTGGCTCAAGTGGTAGAGCACTAGCCTTGAGCTGAAGAGCTGAGGGACAGTGCCCAGGCCCAGAGTTCAGGCCCCACGACCAGACCCAAAAAAAAAAAAAAATGCATCAACACATCCTAATCTTACCTGATACATATAACCTAAGGTACAAGGAATTATAAAATTAATTGTACTTTAGTTTTCATTATTTAAAAACTATTTCTCAGCCTGGGGGAAAGTGCAAACCTCAGTACCATCAAAAAAAAAGTTTAGGGGGGGGATGATGGGGGGGGAAGGGGGAGGATGGGAAGGGATGGGAAAGGGAAACAAAGGAGGAGGCTACAATGCTTGATAAGAAATGTACTCATTATCTTGCCCATGTAATTGTAACCCCTCTGTACAGTATTTTCACAATAAAAAAAAAAAAAGTTTAATAAAAATGATTTCTCCAGGAGCTGGAAAGGCAGCTCAATGGTAGAGTGCTTGCCTTGCATACATGAGGCCCTGGGTTCGATTCCTCAGCACCACATAAGCAGAAAATGCTGGAAGTGGCGCTGTGGCTCAAGTGGTAGAACGCTCGCCTTGAGCTGAAGAGCTGAGGGACAGCGCCCAGGCCCAGAGTTCAGGCCCCATGACTGACCAAAAAAAAAAAAAAATTATCCAAAGTTAAAAATACCTTTTTTTTTTGAGAGTCTTGGTTCTGTAGTTTAGCCTCACATTGAACTCATAATCCTCTTTTGACAGCCTGACAGCTTCCCATGTACTGGGATTACAGGCATGAACCACCCCATAGCTTAAAATGTGTATCCTAAAGTGAAAATCTATAGTCAGGCATCAGTGGCTCACGCCCATAATCTCAGGAGGCTGAGATCTGAGAATGTGATTCAAAGCCAGCCCAGGCAGGAACTTCATGAGACTTCTCTAATTAATCAACAAAAAAGCCAGAAGTGTAAACTAGGCACCCAGTGGCTTACACCTGTAATCCTAGCTACTCAAGAGGCTGAGAGCTGAGGATCCTGATTCAAAGCCAGCCCAGGCAGGAAAGTTCATGAGACTCTCATTGCCAATTAACCACCAGAAAACCAGAAGTGGCGCTGTGGCTTAAATGGTAGAGCGCTAGCCTTGAGCTGAAGAGCTCAGGGACAGCACCCAGGCCCAGAGTTCAAGCCCCATGACGAACCAAAAAAAAAAAAAAAGCCACAAGTGGAGCTGTGTATGGCTGAAGTGCTAGCTAATCTTGAGTAAAAAGAAGCTTGGGGACAGCGCAACACATACACACGATGTGGATTTATGGTAACACTGGATGTACATAAAGGATGTGATCTGAAAAATACATCAATAGTGCAGGTATGTATTGAGAGCAACTGCTCTGAGAGTTGACGTTTGAGGACCTGACAGTGTCCTTTCTGGTGCTGAAGAGACTCGAAGCGGCCAGCCCACAGGGGTCCTGGAGCCACTATGGTGGCAGGACAAAAAAAAAAAAAAACAACTAGTTCTAGTACACCACACAGTCTATTTTCACTGACATTTCTGGACCTGACTATTCAGCCTCTAAGGCAGCAATAGCCCTTTTCCTATCAAGGAAATCTCCAGAATGCAAAAACTGCTGTAGAAGCCAGTAGATGTAGATTACTGGTTTTGGGGACCCCAATATGGCTAGAGAATGAAACTATGAGTGGTTAAAGGGGAACCACCACAAACAAAACTTTCGGCTTAATGACACAGTAGCTACAGAGACTCTAAACCCAGACTCCTTACAAAAAACTTATTTTCTGCTTCAGTTTACCTCAGCTTACAGTCGAGACCTGTAGTTACCACTCTGTTACCGGTAACAGGTGAAAAATAGGCAGAACTGATGCTCTTGGTGTGTCCAGTCAAAGCAAACAAAGGCTGGCGTCTCCTGGAATTCAGGCACCTGGCATCGTAAATGTGAATGTCCCTGCGAAGGAAGAGTAGTCATCATTACGTGGCCGTGGACACTCCCACTGCCAATTACCCACCTGAAAACCGGAAGTAGCACTATGGCGCAAAGTGGGAGCGCACTAACTAGCCTCAAGCAAAAAGTTCAGGAACAAGCCAGGTGCCACTGGCTCACGCCTGTCATCCTAGCTACTCAGCAGGCTGAGATCTGAGGATCACGGTTCAAAGCCAGCCCAGGCAGGAAAGTCAGTGAGACTCTTATCTCCAATAAACCACTCAAAAACCGGAAGTGACGCTGTGGCTCAAGCGGTAGAGCGCTTGCCTTGAGCTGAATTGTGCAGGGACAGCACGTAAGCCCAGAGTTCAAGCCCCACAACCAACCAAAAGAAAAAGAAAAAAGAAAATATACCTCAATCCCGCCGTCATGAAATACTGTCGGTGCACTGGGTGGACATGAACAGTTCTTATTTGTTCCATGGAAGAGCTAAGTTTTTCATCAGACATTCCAGGTGTCCGTCTATCCACTAGTGATATGTGTCCACTCCAGTGTCCTACTAATAAAGTGGAAGCGTCTTCTGTAAAGAAGTCAAAGGAGGAAAGGCCACTTCTTTCATTTCTATACACCTAAGGAAATAAGTAGCAATCAGCTTATGAAACACTCTTTAGTACAAGGCCCTAAGTTCAAGCCCCAATACAAACATACATACAAAATACCCATAGTTGCGCATGCACGCACACACACACACACACACACAATGCCATTCATGCCCAGCATTGGTGGCTCATGCCTATAATCCTAGCTACTCAGGAGGCTGAGATCTGAGGATCACAGTTCAAAGCCAGCCCTGGCAGGAAAGTCTGTTGAGACTTGGCACTGTGGCTCAAGTGGTAGAGCTTCGCCTTGAGCTGAAGAGCCCAGGAACAGCACCCAAGCTCAGAGTTAAAAAAAAAAAAAAATCCCATTCACAATGAGATAAAGGATCTAGCCATTCCAAGTTTCACAAAGATTAAGATTACTACATATAAAGACACTCAGCAGCTGGAGACCAGTGGCTCATGCCTGTAATCCTAGCAATTCTAGCTACTCAGGAGGCTGAAATCTGAGGATCCTGGTTGAAAGCCAGCCTGGCAGGAAAGTCCAAGACTCTTATCTCCAATAAACCACTAGAAAACCGGAAGTGGTGCTGTAGCTCAGGGGGTAGAGCGCTTGCCTTGAGCTGAAGAGTGCAGGGACAGTGCCCAAGCCCAGAGTTCAAGCCCCACAACGGACCAAAAAAAAAAAAAAGAGGTTGCTCAGTGGTAGAGCACTTGCCTTGCATGCATGAGGCCCTGGGTTCGATTCCTCAGCACCACATAAGCAAAAAGAAAAAAAGCCGGAAGTGGCGCTGTGGCTCAAGTGGTAGAGCGCTAGCCTTGAGCTAAAGAGCTGAGGGACAGCGCCCAGGCCCAGAGTTCAGGCCCCACGACCAGACCAAAAAAAAAAGAAAGAAAGAAACTCAGCATAGCAGGGATGGTTCATGCCTGTAATCCTAGCTACACAGAAGGCTAAGATCTGAGACTTGTAGTTCAAAACCAGCCCCAAAGCCAGGCGCTGGTGGCTCACGCCTGTAATCCTAGCTACTCAGGAGGCTGAGATCTGAGGATCGTGGTTCAAAGCCAGCCCGGGCAGGAAAGACCGTGAGACTCCTATCTCCAATAAACCACCAGAAAACCGGAAGTGGCGCTGTAGCTCAAGTGGTAGAGCGCTCGCCTTGAGCTGAAGAGCTGAGGGACAGCGCCCAGGCCCAGAGTTCAAGCCCCACGACCGACAAAAAAAAAAAAAACAGCCCCAACAGCAAAGTCTGAGACTCTAACTACCAAAAAGCCAGAAATTGAGCTAGGCTTAAAATAGTAGAGCACTAATCCTCAGAGTAAAAGTTCAGAGACAGTACCCATACCCTCAGTTCAAGACCCAGGACTGGCACAAAAAAAAAAAAAAGTGGGCTGGGAAGGTAGCTCAGTGGTAGAGTGCTTGCCTAGCATACATGAAACCTTGGGTTCAATTCCTGAGTACCACATAAACAGAAAAGGCCGGAAGAAGTGTTGTGGCTCAAGTGGTAGAGCATTAGCCTTGAGCAAAAGGTTAAGGACAGTGCCCAGGCCCCGAGTTCAAGCCCCAGGTCTGGCAAAAAAAAAAAAGCCTTCAGCAAAAATAAATAATAAGAGTGACTGAGCCGAGCACCAGTGGCTCACAGCTATAGCCCTACCTACTCAAGAGGCTGAGATATTAAGATTAAAGTTTAAAGCCAACCCAGCCAGGCACAGGTGGGTGGGTGGCTCACACCCGTAATCCTAGCTAAGCTGCCTGGGCAGAAAGTCTGTGAGACTCTTATCTCCAATAAACCACTAGAAAACCAGAAGTGGCGTTGTGGCTCAAGTGGTAAGAGCGCTAGCCTTGAGCTAAAGAGTGCAGGGACAGCGCCCAAGCCCAGAGTTCAAGTCCCATTACTGACCAAAAAATATATATGTATATCGATAGACTTTTTTTTTTTTAAAGGCTGGGAATGTGGTTTAGTGGTAAGAGTGCTTGCCTAGCATGCATGAAGCCCTGAGTTCAATTCCTCAGTACCACATAAACAGAAAAAGCCAGAAGTGATGCTCAAGTGGTAGAGCGCTAGCCTTGAGCAAAAGAAGCTCAGGGACAGTGCCCCAGGCCCTGAGTTCAAGCCCCAAGACTGGCAAAAGTAAATAAATAGGAGTAACTTAGTGTGATGACACTGACCTGTAATCCCAACTAGTCAGGAGGTAGGGGCAGGAGGATCACCAGTTCAAAGCTAGCCTAAGCTTAGTGAGACCAAGTCTAAATAAATAACTTTATTTCTACTCATTCATTTAATGCTTATGACAACTTCCAAAGCAAATACAACAACTCAGAAAATGGAAGCTCAAAGAGGCTGAATAAGCCGGGCACTGGTGGCTCACGCCTGTAATCCTAGCTATTCAGGAGGCTGAGATCTGAGGATCTCGGTTCAAAGCCAGCCCAGGCAGGAAAGACCATGAGACTCCTATCTCCAATAAACCACCAGAAAACTGGAAGTGGCGCTGTAGCTCAAGTGGTAGAGCGCTCGCCTTGAGCTGAAGAGCTGAGGGACAGCGCCCAGGCCCAGAGTTCAAGCCCCACGACCGACCAAAAAAAAAAAAAAAAGAGGTTGAGTAATTTAGTCAAGGTCACAGAGCTAATAGACGGTGTGCCCGGACTTAGTTCCTAGTCTCCACCACTTCACTCTGACTGATATGATTTTGGAGAATCCAGAATAATACCATGTCATATCAGCATGTGTACAAATACATTAACATTTACCTCTTCGAAAACAGCACTGGAAAAATCCCCACATCGCAAAGTGCCGTCATAGCTCAGGGACAGGATGTGGGCTGGATTGGCGGGTGAGAAGTACATGCAGCCAACGTGCCGACTGTGGGGATAAAAACGGAACATCCCACCTTCTTCACATCGCTGGGTCTGGAAAAGGCGCAGTGGAGGAAAAGACAACACTAATGAGCAGTGATCATACTTAGTGTTATTATGACATTGTTCACCTCTGGATTGTATCCTGTATTTCCTGAGTCTCTAACTATATCCACTCTCTCAATCGGAACAAGGAAGCTTATCCTAACATTACATTATATTTTTCTCATTTCCAGTCTAAGAACAACAAGTTACGTTGATTTCATGAATCTAGCTTTTGGCAAATAATAAAACAAGTAAAAAAAATTGCTGCTTCTATTCCAATTGCTCAGGAGGAGGCTAAGGCAGGAAGACTGTGTGAGACCAGAGATCTGAGGCCAGTCTGGGCTTCATAGCAAAATCCTGCCCACAAAAATAATAAAGAAGGGACTGGGAAGGTGGCTCAGTGGTAGAGCACTTGCCTTGCATGCTTGAGGCCCTAGGTTCGATTCCCCAGCACCACATAAGCAAAAAGAAAAAAGCCGGAAGTGGCGCTGTGGCTCAGGTGGTAGAGCTCTAGCCTTGAGCTGAAGAGCTGAGGGACAGCACCCAGGCCCAGAGTTCAGGCCCCTCGACTGGACCCAAAAATAAATAAATAAATAAATAAAAAATAGAGAATAGTCTGCCGGGCACCGATGGCTCATACCTGTAATCCTAGCTACTCAGGAGGCTGAGATCTGAGGATTGCAGTTCAAAGCCAGCCCAGGCAAGAAAACTTATGAGACTCTTATCTCCAATTAACCACCAGAAAACTGGAAATGGCGCTGTGACTCAAGTGGTAGAGGGCTCACCTTGAGCTGAAGAGCTGAGGGACAGCACCAGGCCCAGAGTTCAAGACCCATGACCAACAGAAAAAAAGAATAGTGGATGAATATAGTCATAATATTCAGTATACTTATTTGAAACAAAAAGCAAAAATGAAGGGCAGGAAATGTGGCTTAGTGGCTGAGTGCTTGCATAGCATGCATGAAGCCTTGGGTTCGATTCCTCAGCACCACATACACAGAAAAAGCCAGAAGTGGAACTGTGGCTCAAGGGGTAGAGGGTTAGCCTTGAGCAAAAAGAAGCTCAAAGACAGTGCCCAGGCCCTGAGTTCAAGCCTCAGGGCTGGCCAAATATATATATATCTTTATGTAGCTGTACAAAGAAGTCACCATTAAACATGTTAGTTTATAAGTACAATTGGATCTTCATTAAAATCATCCCTTCTGTCATTCTCAAGGCTAACTTTTTCAAAATTGATTTCATTGTTACTATTAAGGTGATGTATAGAGGGGTTACAGTCTCAGTCATGTGGTAAGTACATTTTAGGGGGACAATGTCACCCTTACTCAAAGTTAACTTAAAAAAAAAAAAAGCCAGGTGCTAGTGGCTCACACCTGTAATCCTAGCTACTCAAAAGGCTAGCAGCTGAGGACTGCTATTTGTGAGATCCTGAAAAGCTGAGCTATGAGACCCAAAAGGATGGGATCTTGGAAGGCCTTCTCCCAACATACTCTCCTAACACTGAAAGTCTCCTGAAAAGGTCAATCTGTCTGGCTTAAAAAGTATTCAGATTTCTCTCCTGGGCGTGGGCTAATTCCATCCTAAACTGTGTTGGAGCCCAGGAGCAGCCTAAGGTTTATGAAAATTGTAAGCAGTTTACAGCTTAGCTCTAGTTCTTATGATAATGAAGTCATCTACCACTTGTATACAAAATATTGTCTCTTGTTGATGCTCAGACCTTACTTTCTGCACATGCTTCCCTATACAAAACCAATAAAACCTTGGTGAATGGAACCTTGGGATCTGAAGCTAGCAGAAGGCTACAGGTCCCCTGGTACCCAAAACCTCAATTCCAGGGTCCAGTCTCCGTTACTGCCTTGCTTCCTGGTCGTGGTAGGTTAAGGGGCACATGGTGGTTTGCAACAGCAGTTCAAAGCCAACCTGGGCAAGAACTTTGGTGAGACTCTGATCTCCAATAAACCACCAGAAAACCACAAGTGGAGCTGTGGCTCCAAGTGAAAAAGCTCAGGAACAGCACTCAGGCCTTGAGTTCAAGTCCCAGGACTGGCAAAAAAAAAGAATCTTGAGGATATGCCTGGCTCAGGCTGGCTTTGAACTAGGATCCTCAGATCTCAGCCTCCTGAGCAGCTAGAATTATAAGTTGAAAGACCAGGTAAATCTTGGTTTTTATTCTGTCTTTCCTCACTTGCAGAGTGAGTGTGTGTGTGTGTGTGTCTCTGTGTGTCTGTGTCTGTCTGTCTGTCTCTCTCTCTCTCTCACTCCTTGGGCTTTAACTCAAGGTTTGGATGCTATCCCTAAGCTTTTTGCTCAAGTCTGGTGCTGTACACTTAAGCCACAGCTCCACTTTCAGCTTTTTTAACTTAAGAGTCTTACACAGACTTCCCTGCCTGTGCTGGTTTTAAACTGTGATCCTCAGATTTCAGCCTCCAGAGTAGCTAGGATTAGGTGCCCAATTGCAAAAATACTTTATTAAGCCCAACTAGTTCAAGTCACCTTTCTTTGTTCATTTCCAATACTTGTTCATGCCTTTGTTCTGTTTCCCCAACTTCAAAGCAAACTGTTAACATTGTAACCACTGAAAGCACTTACTAAGAACTATAGGTACAATGAAAGGAATTCGCTACCTGTCTTTGGGTCAACAACTCGTAACATCCTAAGCAGATCCCAAAATATTTTCTTCCCACCCAAAATTATTATTTTGATCCAAGACCAGGACTTGAACAGATGCTTTGGCTCATTGGCTGGTACTCTACCAACTGAGTCATACCTCCAAGCTGGAGAGAAAAAAAACAATTTTTGTCAGTTGTGGGATTTGAATGCAGGACCTGGGCCCTAGCCTTGAGCTTTTCTGCTCAAGCCACAGCTCCACTTCCAGTTTTCCGATGGTTAATTGGAAATGAGTCTCTCAGACTTTCTTGCCTAGGCTGGCTTTGAACCACAATCCTTAGATCTCAGCTTCCTGAGTAGCTAGGATTACAGTTGTGAGCCACCAGCACCCTGCCAGAGAAAATTAATTTGATCCAGCTTAGAAACTATGTCTTAGCATACGAGTTGCTATTTTTTTTTTTTTTTTTTTGGTCGGTCGTGGGGCTTGAACTCTGGGCCTGGGCGCTGTCCCTCAGCTCTTCAGGTCAAGGCAAGCGCTCTACCACTTGAGCTACAGCGCCACTTCCGGTTTTCTGGTGGTTTATTGGAGATAGGAGTCTCATGGTCTCTCCTGCCCGGGCTGGCTTTGAACCGCGATCCTCAGATCTCAGCCTCCTGAGTAGCTAGGATTACAGGCGTGAGCCACCAGCACCTGGCTATGAGTTGCTATTAAATAAACTGGGAGACTTACAAACAGCAAGAATTTATTTCCTAGGGCTGGGAAGGTGGCTCAGTGGTAGAGCGTATGCCTTGCAATGCCAGAGGCTCTGGGTTCGATTCCTCAGCACCACATAAGCAAAAAGAAAAAAGCCAGAAGTGGCGCTGTGGCTCAAGTGGCAGAATGCTAGCCTTGAGCTGAAGAGCTGAGGGACAGTGCCCAGGCCCAGAGTTCAGGCCCCATGACCAGACCAAAAAAAAAAAAAGAATTTATTTCCTAGTTCTGAGACAAGGCCATCCAAGATTAAGGTGTTAGCTAATTCAGTGACTAGTACGGGACCACTCCGGGTTACAGATGGTGCCTTCTATCTGAGCCCTCACATGGCAAAGGGAAAAGGACTCTCTCCTGAGCTCCTTTCAGGGCTAAGTACCTCTAAAAGGCCCCACACCTCCTCAGAATTCAGGAATTCATCCTATGAATTTGAACAAAGGATACAACATTCAGATCATGGCACAGCGGATCTTAAACATAATTTTAACACTAATGACTTTATGTGGTCTTTCTCACTTATACATTTAAAATCTGGTAGTTAATTTATGCCCAAATGGCTAATGATATTCGAGGTAAAAATGTTAAAGCTCTATAAATCAAATTTAAATTCCTCCAGAATTCAAAATTTTAATATCAGACAAGCGCTGGTAGCCCATACCTATAACCCTAGCTATTCAGGAGGCTGAGATCTGAGGATCACGGTTTGAAATCACCCCAGACAGGAAAATCCATGAAGACTCTTACCTCCAATTAACTACCAAAAAGCCAGAAACAGAGCTGTGGTTCAGGTGGTAGAGTACTAGCATTGAGCAAACAAAAAGCTCAGGGACAGTACCCAGGTCCTACATTCAAGCCCCAGGACTAGCACCAAAAACCAAAAGCACAAAACTACAAGTTTCAAGCAACACTGAAAATAAATGTCTCTAGGCTATTCACAACCATGTTCATTGCAGCACTGTTCACAATAGCCAAGCTATCGATACAACCAAAATACCTACAACTGATGAAAAGATCAAGGTGATAGATATCTCACACGAAATATTACGCAGCTATAAAGAATAAAACCATGTTATTTGCAAGGAAATAGGTGAACTGAGAAATGTTCTTTCTTATATGCAGGCTGTTGGGTCCAAAATATAAACACGTAAACATATTGAATCCTATGTATATGTGTGTGTGTGGGTACACGCATTCTCAGGTATGAGATATCATGGCAAAAATCACTTCAGCAGGCAGTGTAACAAAAGGAACATTAGAAAACTGAAATATGTCTGGATTGGGGTGCAAGTAGCAGTGGGAGGGGGGAAAGATGGCAAATATAAATAATAATTATGTACACGTTTGAAATGAAACAATGAAACTAAATGAGACTCGTTTGGGGAAGGGTGAAAAGAAGGGATAAGTATGGGCAGGGTGACTGATCAAGAAGCATTATAGCTGCCGGGCACTGGTGGCTCACACCTGTAATCCTAGCTACTCAAGGGGGCTAAGACCTGAGGATCGCTGTTCAAAACCAGCCCAGGCAGGAAAGTCTGTGAGACTCATCTCCAATTAAGCACCAAAAAAGCCAGAAATGAGGCTGTGGCTCAAGTGGTAGAATGCTAGCCTTGAACACAAAAGTTCAGGGACAGTGCCCAGGCCCTGAGTTCAAGCCCCAGGACCAATATACTAACACAGCAGTACATGCATGCGTGCACACATGCACACAGGCACATGCGCAGGCGCACACACACACACAAAGAACTTGCATCAATGGCTCATACCTATAATCCTAGCTACTCAGAAGGCTGAGATCTGAGAATCATTTAGCAAAGAAAATAAGATCAGGTTTCAAAGCCACTCTGGGCAGAGAAATCCAAGACACTTATACCTCCAATTAACCAGCAAAAAGCCAGAACTGAAGGTATAGCTCAAATAGTAGAAAGCCAGCCATGAGTAAAAAAGTGGAGTCCTGAGTTCCAGCCTCAGTACTAGCACACACAAAGTATTGTACACTGTACCCATGAATAAACATGTTAAAATGTACACTCTTATATGACTAATTGATGCTTTTGAAAAAGAAAAAGCTTATAATTTCTTTTTTTTTTTTACTTTTTATTTATTGATTTTTTGCCAGTCATGGGGCTTGGACTCAGGGCCTGGGCACCCTGAGCTCCTTTTGCTCAAGACAAGTACTCTACCACTTGAGCCATGCACCAATTCCAGCTTTATCTGTCATTAAATGAATACAAGAATCTCATGGTTTCCGGCCTGTGCAGGCTTTGAACGGTGATCCTGAGATCTCAGCCTCCTGAGTAGCCTGACATGAGCCACCAGCACCTGGCTATGAAGTTTTTACAATCTTTTTTTTACAAGCAAACTTTCGTATCTTCAGAATATAACTTACCAAATCCCAAATTCCAATCTGCCCAGTTCTGGCCCCAGCTGCTACTAAAATTCTTGTTTCTGATGGGTGTACGGCCACAGAGGATATCGACCCATCAACAAGTTTACGAACTGTATCTTCTCTGATGACCATGCTGTTTAAATTGGCTTTGTAGCTGTAATAAAGTTAAAACTATCTAAGTAAAAAGCAACTCAATTGTTAAAAATCAGTAAAATATAACTCAAAAAAAAAAAATCATAATAAATAAATGAATGGAAAATACTCAACTTCCTGATAAGAAAGGAAATCAAACTCCACAGTGATATACTAGTCTTCTATTATAAAATTACTTTTGATCATTTTAGCAATATCAAAAACTAGGAGACTAGCTGAACTAGGAGACCCCACAATTGACAAAAATATAAACAAAATAATCAGCAAAATGCCAGGCACCATGGACCCATACCTACTCAGGAAACTGAGATCTCAACAATTGTGGTTTGAAGCCAGAATGAGCAGAAGACTCTGAAAAATTCCATCTACAATTAGCCAGCAAAAGACTGAGCTATAGCCAGGCGCCAATGGCTTACGCCTGTAATCCTAGCTACTAAGGAGGCTGAGATCTGAGGATCATGGTTCAAAGCCAGCCCCGGCAAGAAAGTCCATGAGACTCTTATCTCCAATAAGCCACTCAGAAAACTGGAAGTGGCATTATGGCTCAAATGGTAGAGTGCTTGCCTTGAGCTAAACAGCTGAGGGACAGCACCCAGGCCCATAGTTCAAGCCCCACGACTGACAAAAAAAAAAAAAGCAGAGCTGTAAGCCTGGCTCAAATAGTAAAGTGCCAACTGTGCACAAGCAAGCAAGGCCAATATTAGTCCTCTGAGTTCAAGTCCTAATACTGGCAAAAATAAGCAAGTAAACAAGTAAATACAAAATAACCAACAAAGAGCCAGGCTGAAAGCATGGCTCAAAGGTTAGAACACCAAACAAGCAAGCAAAGTTGAGTGAAGCCCTTAGTTTAAACCCAAGAACTGGCCAAAAAAACCACAAATCCCTGTCCTTATAAAACTTGTATCCTAGGAAGTGGTGCTGTGGTTAAAGTGGTAGAATGCTCATCTTGAGCTGAAGAGGTCAGGGACAGTGCCCAGGACCAGAGTTCAAGCCCCGCAACCAACAAAAAAAAAAAACTATTAAGGATATGAGGCTGTGAATGTAGCTTAGTGGTATAGTGCTTGGTTTGCAGCCTAGCATGTATGAAACCCTGCGTTCAATTCCTCAGTACCACATAAACATAAAAAGCTGGAAGTGGCACTGTGGCTCAAGTGGTAGATTGCTAGCCTTGAGCACATGGAGGCTCAGTGACAATACCCAGGCCCTGAGTTCAAGCCCCAGGACTGCCAGGACTGGCAAAAAAAGAAAAAAATATCAAGGATAATGTTTTTCATTATGCTCTCAAATTTTTCTATTATAACCAAAACTAGAGTAGTGACTCAGGTGGCAAGCACCAGCCAGGAGTGAAAAGCCCAGGATTCCCGTCCTAGTACTGGCACATACACACACAAAAATTCTACTTTAGGATGTAGTTTTTACAACTCAAACGTCTCTAAAACTATAAAATAAAAGCAAGAGGTTTTAACTTACCTTTTAATGCTAGATAAGCCCTTCTGATAGCTCTTACTACATGTCTAAAACAAGGGGAGACACCAAAATGGTAGGTAAGTTAACATATATATTTGGAAATTTCCTTAACAGAAGCTTCTAAAAGCAGTAAAGCATACCCAAGGAGATACCTTGCTCATTTCTGCCCAGGTCTGCAGCAATCCTTTAAATAGTTGATTGTCATCTTCATTTTCAGGAATCATATCTAAAGGTCCAGGAGGTAACAAAGGCTGTAATCAAAAATAAAGTTTATTGTTTGTCTCCTAGAAAATAAGCTTCACGTGAGTAAAGGTATTTGTTTTTTACTACTTTACTTTCAATGCTAACAACAGTGGTAGAATACTGTTGGTACTAAGAAGTAATTGTTCAATGGCCCACACCTGTAATCCTAGCTACTCAGGAGGTTAACATGTGAGGACAGCAGTTCAAAGGCAGCTTGAGCAGGAAAATCCATGAGACTCCTATCTTCAATTAACTACCAAAAAGCCAGAAATGGAGCTGTAGCTCAAAGTGGCAGAGCACTAGCCTGGAGCACAAAAGCTTAGGGCCGTGCCCAAGCTCCAATTTCAAGCCCCATGACCAGCACAAAAAAATAATAATTGTTCAATAAATGAAAGTCAACCAAAAAAAAAAAAAATTAACAGACCTTGTTAAGATGCAAAGAAAGAGGAGCACTTACTCCTACACTGATGTTGAACACATGCATTAGGTCAGCCCTTATGGCAAACGATATGGGGTTTCCTCCAAAAATAAGAAATTTAACTTTTTCTTACAGTACTGAGGTTTGGACTCAGGGTCTCACATTTGTAAGACACTTGTTCTACCACTTGTTCTGCCAGGCCAATTTTGCCTTGTAGACCAGTGAGTTACTAGAGCTGAAAAGGGTATATAGAAGAACGTGAGATGAGAAATCATTTCTGAAGTTCAGTAGCACAATAGGAAAACCATGGCTGATGATAGCTACCTATTTTTTTTTTTTGCGGGGGGCGGGGGGTCCGGTTGTGGAGCCTGAACTCTGGGCCTGGGCACTGTCCCTCAGCTCTTCAGCTCAAGGCTAGCGCTCTACCACTTGAGCCATAGTGCCACTTCCCGCTTTTTTCTTTTTGCTTATGTGGTGCTGAGGAATCGAACCCAGGGCTTCTTGCAAGGCCTAAGGGGGCTGAAATCTGAAAGTCTGAGAGACTCTTATCTTCAATTAAACCAACAAAAGTCAGAAGTAATTCAAAGCCAGCCCTGGCAAGAAAATCTGTAAAACTCATCTCCAATTAACTACCAGAAAACCAGAGCTGTGGTTCAAAGTGGTAGAGTGCCAGCCTTAAGCAGAAAGGGTCAGGGGGCAGCACCTAGGCCCTGAGTTCAAGTCCTATGACCAAGAAAAAAAAAAAACAGGCATAGTTAGTGCACACCTATAATCCCAGCACTCCAAAAGCAGAAGCAAGAGACTGTGAGTTCAAGGCTAGCCTAAGCTACAAAGTTAGTTCCAAGCCAGTTTGAGCAATATAGTGAGACTGTCTCCAAAAACCAAAAATAGGGGGCTGGGAAGGGGGCTCAGTGGTAGAGCACTTGCCTTGCATGCATGAGGCCCTGGGTTCGATTCCTCAGCACCACATAAGCAAAAAGAAAAAAGCCGGAAGTGGCACTGTGGCTCAAGTGGTAGAGCGCCAGCCTTGAGCTGAAGAGCTGAGGGACAGCGCCCAGGCCCAGAGTTCAGGCCCCACGAACGGACCCAAAAACAAAACAAAACAACCAAAAATATATACACATGCATACAGTAAGTACTACTGAATAAAGTATTGTTAGAACCTTAGAGAATATGAAGTCTCCTACTCACCGATAGTGTAAAATTAAACTATACCAAGGACTCTACTTTGATGACACATTATTGATAACAATCTATTATTTACTAAACACATATCACATAAGGAACTATTTCATTTAATCTTCACTACAACCCCTTAATGATTCTATTACTATTTTTTAAATGGGGAAACTGAAACTCAGAAAGTTTAATTTCTCTAAAACCTCACAAGAGGTAAGTCCTACAGAAACACAGAATCCAAGCCTGTCTCTATGACTTTGAAATCCTACTAAACTATACAGCATTCAAATGTTAAGTTAATAAAACGTAAAGCCAGGTGCCAGTGGCTCAGGTCTGTAATCCTAGAAGGCTAAGATCCAGAGAACTTCAATTTGAAGCCAGCCCAGGCATTTCCAAAATAACCAGCACAAGAAAGGATAGAGGTATGATTCAAATGGTAGAACATCAACCAAGCAAGATAACCAACCAAGTGTGAGGCTCTGAGTTCAAACCCAAAACCACCAAAAATAAAAATGAAATGTAAATAAAACAATTGAAATAAGAACATTTAGTCTCAGCTGGGCACCAGTGGCTCATGCTTATAATCCTAGCTACTTAGGAGGCTGAGATCTGAGGATCACACTTTGAAGACAGCCCAGGGGGGAAAAAGTCTCCATGGGACTCTTATTTCCAATTACCTACTCAAAAACTGGAAGTGGTACTGTGGCTCAAGTGGTAGAGCACTAGGCTTAAGCACAAAGAGGCTCAAGGACAATGCCCAGGCCCTGAGTTCAAGCCTCACAACAACAACAACATTTAGTCTCATTTCAAATACTTTTCAATATTGTTAGTATATTGCATTTGTGTTTTCCCTTACATCTTTTTTTTTTTTTGGTTAGTCCTCTACCACTTGAACCACAGCACAACTGGGCTTTTTCAGTTCATGTGGTACTGGGGAATCAAACCCAGGGTTTCATGCATGCTAGGCAAGCTCTCCACCACTAAGCCACATTCCCAGCCCCTCTTACATCTTCTTCTTCTTCTTTTACTACTGTTGTCTTTACTGGAGGTGGTAAAAATGAAATTTCTGAAGGTTCTACTTTTAGCAATCTCATTGACCTTCTACATCCAATCTCATCTTCTCTCTTCTTAGGTTTTTTCCTAAAGGAACAGGAGGAAAAAAATCATGCTATACTCACAGAACAGTAAAATATATTTAGTGTGATATCTAACATTCCATAGAAGTTCATATATGACCACATCGATTTTGATAAAAAAATCTGGAAAAACCCTAAATGAAAATATTAAGCATGAAGAATAAGGGATGTTAAGCCAATTATGGCATATTATCAAGTGGAATGGCATTCAGTCATAAAGAACGAAACATGGGCTGGGTGCCAGTGGCTCATATCTGTAATCCTAGCTTCTTAGGAGGCTGAGAGCTGAGGATCACAATTCAAAACCAGGCCAGGCATGAAAGAGGAAGAGAAGAGAGGAAAAGAAGAGAGGAAGGGAGGGGGGAAGGGAAGGGAGAGGAATCACCAAAGAACATTTGAGTGCAGAGAGCAGAGTCATTGCAAGGGCAAAGAAAAGATTGTTAAAGGTAGATAGAGGCCTGGGAGATGGCTCAGCCTGTAATCCTAACTACTCAGCAGACTGAGATCTGAGAATCGTGGTTCTGAAGGCAACCTAGGCAGGAAAGTCCATGAGACCCTTATCTCCAGCTCACCACCAAAAAGCCAGAAGCAGTGTGGAGGAGTAAGTAGAAAAGCCTTGTACAAGCGCAGGGGCAGTGCCCAGGCCCTGAATTCAAGCCTCAGGACCAGTGCAAAAAAATAAGAATAATTTCTAGACAAAAGTAAAAAGAATTGAGTGGAAATAAAGACATCTTTCCATTAGCAGTAACAAATATAAAAAATAAAATTTTGGAGGCTGGGAAGGTGGCTAAGCAGTAGAGTGCTTGCTTCCCATGCAAGCCCTGGATTCAATTCCTCAGCATCACATAAACAGAAAAGGCCAGAAGTGGCACTGTGGCTCAAGTGGTAGAGCACTAGCCTTGAGCTGAAGAGCTGAGGGATCAAAAAATAAAATTTTGGGGCCGAGCTACTCAGGAGGCTGAGATCTGAGAATAGTGGTTCAAAACCAGCCTGGGCAGGAACGTCCATGAGACTCTTATCTCCAATTAACCACCAGAAAACCAGAAGTGGTTCAAGTGGTAGAGCACTGGCCTTTAGCTGAAGAACTGAGGGACAGCATCCAGGCCCAGAGTTCAAGCCCACAACCGACAAAAAAAAAAAAAAAAAAAAAAAAGCCTAGTAAAGTATCATGCATAATCTAGTCAATATAAAACAATCTCTTACCTCTTGCATTTAGGAGACTTTCTCTTAATCATTTCACGAAGCCTTGCAGCTGACTGAAAAGCACACAGAACACACACACATAAAAATGCTACCTTAAAACTTCATAGCTTTAACTTTTAAAAATATTAATTGGGCTGGGAAGGTGGCTCAGTGGTAGAGCGCTTGGCTTGTAATGCATGAGGCCCTGGGTTCGATTCCTCAGCACCACATAAGCAAAAAGAAAAAAGCCGGAAGTGGCGCTGTGGCTCAAGAGGTAGAGCACTAGCCTTGAGCTGAAGAGCTGAGGGACAGCACCCAGGCCCAGAGTTCAGGCCCCACGACCAGACCCAAAAAAAAATAAAAATAAAAATATTAATTATCGCCGGGCGCTGGTGGCTCACGCCTGTAATCCTAGCTACTCAGGAGGCTGAGATCTGAGGATCGAGGTTCAAAGCCAGCCCGGGCAGGAGAGACCGTGAGACTCCTATCTCCAATAAACCACCAGAAAGCCGGAAGTGGCGCTGTAGCTCAAGTGGTAGAGCGTTCGCCTTGAGCTGAAGAGCTGAGGGACAGTGCCCGGGCCCAGAGTTCAAGCCCCACGACCGACCAAAAAAATATATATATTAATTATCTGTTACTATTCCCAGATCTATTCAGGAAATAAAAAACCTTTAAGATAGGACACCTGGGCCAGGCACTGGTAGCCCATACTTGTAATCATAGCTACTCAGGAGGCTGAGATCTGAGGATTGCAGTTTGAAATCAGCTGAGGCAGGAAAGTCTGTGATACTGTTTATCTCCAATTAATCTCAGAAAAAGCTGGAAGTGGCACTGTGACTCAAATGATAGAGCACTAGCCTTGAGCAAAAAACAGCTCAGGGACAATGCCTAAACCCAGAGTTTCTTCCCAGGATTGGGAAAAAAAAAAAAAAAAAGAGGCATTTGTCTCTGGTAGTAGACACGAGATAAAATACATACACTAATAATGAAAGCAAGGATAAAACTGTCTAATAAAGTAGCATTTTGAGTCAAGTTGTTAATGAGCCTATGTGATTAAATAGTTATTTTAATCAAATATATTATTAGAGGGATGGCAAAAACGCTTGGAAACTGAACAACACATTGTTAAATACAACTGGGTCACAGAATAAAGGGAAAAATAATAAAGTTCCTGCAAACCAGTGAAAATGAAAGCCCATCCTACCAGAACCTCCAATACAGCAAAAGCAGTGTTGAGAGGAAAGTTCATAGCTCTAAGTACATATATAGGGGGCTGGGAAGGTGGCTCAGTGGTAGAGCGCTTGCCTTGCATGCCTGAGGCCCTGAGTTCAATTCCTCAGCACCACATAAGCAAAAAGAAAAAAGCCAGAAGTGGCGCTGTGGCTCCAGTGGTAGAGCGCTAGCCTTGAGCTGAAGAGCTGAGGGACAGCGCCCAGGCCTAGAGTTCAGGCCCCACGACCGGACCCAAAAAAAAAAAAAAAAGAGAAAAAAGCCAAAAGTGGCTCTGCGGCTCAAGAGGTAGAGCGCTAGCCTTGAGCTGAAGAGCTGAGGGACAGTGCCCAGGTCCAGAGTTCAGTCCCCAGGACCAGACCCGAAAAAAAAAAACACATATATAAAAAGAACAAGTGGGAAGTGGTTCAAGCAGTAGAGCGCTGGCCTTGAGCTGAAGAGCGCAGGGACAAGTCCCAGACAGAGTTCAAGCCCCACGACCGGCAAAAAACAAAAACAAACACCACTCAAGTAAATAACTTTATGATGCAACTAAAACTTACACAAAAACAGGAAAAAACAAAACAACTAGACAAAGAGAGATAGTAAAATATCAGGTCAGAAATCAAAGAAATAGTGACTAAAAAAATTAAATTTAAAAAAAAAAAAAAAGGGCTGGGAAGGTGGCTCAGTGGTAGAGTGCTTGCCTTGCATGCCTGAGGCCCTGGGTTCGATTCCTCAGCACCACATAAACAGAAAAAGCCGGAAATGGCGCTGTGGCTCAAGTGGTAGAGCGCTCGCCTTGAGCTGAAGAGCTGAGGGACAGCACCTAGGCCCAAAGTTCAGGTCCACGACCGGCAAAAAAAAAAAAAAAAAAAGGGCTGGGAAGGTGGCTCAGTGGTAAAGCGCTTGCCTTGCATGCATGAGACCCTGGGTTCGATTCCTCAGCACCACATAAGCAAAAAAAAAAAAAGCTGGAAGTGGTGCTGTGGCTCAAGTGGTAGAGTGCTAGCCTTGAGCTGAAGAGCTGAGGGACAGCGCCCAGGCCGAGTTCAGGCCCACGACCCGACCCCCCCCCCCCCCAAAAAAAAGTAGTGCTGAGACTCAAGTGGTAGAGTGCTAGCCTTGAGCAAAAAGCAGCTCAGGGATGGTGTTCAAGCCCTGAGTTCAAGTGCCAGGACTGGGAGACAAAGAAAAAACCTCAATATGGTGATGTCTTTCCATTAAGAAGAACATGAATCAGGGGATCTGGGGAAATAGCTTTGTGGTACACAGCTCTTTGCCTAGCATGTACAAGGTTTTGAGTTTGAGCTCCAGCACAGGAAAAAAAAAAAAAAAATCAGAATGATTCTTCAGATTCCTTCTCAACATTTCTTATGGAACTGAACATTCATTGTATTCCACAAGAAACCTTTTGGTTACTGTACTTCCTTTCATAAAGGTTTCTAAATAGACATATATGAGCCCTATTTAAAACTTGCTCTGAATTTTGTCAGCCCTCATGTGGCACTATGAAAGCTGGCACTGTAAATACTCCACTGACATAATGGCAAAAGGAACAGCATCTTGGTTTTAACTGGAAACTCCCAACAAACCTCAGACAATTGAAGGGAAGCAAAAAAGTTTGCATTTTCTGATATGTTCTTCAATCTCTTCCTCTCATATGGTGACAATCCTGAAAAATCATCCTGTGAAATTACACCAAAAAGATTGTTATTATACATAATAACAAAGCACTTCACAAAACCTGGTGTTTCACTCTTAGCACATACTTTCCTTCAAACTGTACCCACACTATTCATTTCATGTTATCGTTTGTTATTTTATCAGTCATAAGGCCTGAACTCTGGGCCTGGGCACTGTCGCTCAGCTTTTCAGCTCAAGGCGAGTACTCGTAACACTTGAGCCACAGCACCACTTCCAGCTTTTTCTGTTTATGTGGTGCTAAGGAATGGAACCCAGGACCTCATGCATGCAAGGGAAAAAGTCTACCATGAGCTACCTTACCAGCCCTATTTATTTAAATCAGTCGTGGGGCTTGAATTCAGGGCCTGGGCATTGTCGCTAAACTTTTTTGCTCAAGGCTAGCACTCTACCACTTTGAGCCACAGTGCCACTTCTGGTTTTCTGGTGGTTAATTGGAGATGAGAGGCTGGTGGACTTTTCCTGTACAGGCTGGTTTAAAGCAAGATCCTCACATCTCAGCCTCCAAAGTAGCTAGGATTATAGCATGAGCCACTGGTGGCCAGCTCCCATGAGCCACAGCACTGGCAACAATAAATAAATAAAGAGATAAAAGATCCTAGAAGATTGCAGGGGCAGAGTGGAGGAAAGTTCACAAAGAATCAGAAAAGCTAGATCCTGGTAGCTCTCACCATAATCCTAGCTACTCAGGAGGCTGAGCTCTGAGGATGGAAGTTCAAAGCCAGCCTTGGCAGAAAACTCCATGAGACCCTATTTCCAAATACCCACCAGGAAACAGAAAGTAGTGCTGTGGCTCAAAGTAGTAGAGCACTAGCCTTGAGCGGAAAAACTTAGGGACAGTGTGCAGGTCCCGAGTTCAAGCTCCACCAGCAAAAAGAAAAAGAAAAAATTAAAGGTCAGGTGAGATGACTCAACACCAGCTACTAGCAAGACAGAGCTCTGGAGAACACAGATTCCAAACTAGTGAGGGACAAATATTAGTGATAAAGTATCTCAACAAATAAGCGAGGTACGGTGACCAAAGCCCTGTGATCCTAGTTTGTAAAAGTATAAGCAAGGGCTGGGATTGTGGCTCAGTGGTAGAATGCTTACCTTACATGCATGAGGCCCACATTCCTCAGCACCACATAAGCAGAAAAAGCCAGAAGTGGTAGAGCACTTGCCTTGAGCTGAAGAGCTGAGGGACAGCACCCAGGCCCAGAGTTCAGGCCTAACGGCGGACCCCCCCCCCAAAAAAAAAAGTGTAAACAAAAGAATCATATTGGGGCTGCCCCCAAGCAAAAAGTCAAGACCCCATCAGGAAAATAACTAAAGCAAGAAAGGATTAAGGGTGTGGCTAAGGTGGCACAGCACTTGCCTCCTAGCAAAAGGCCTGGAGTCCAAACCCTAGTTATACACACAAACAAAACAAAAAAAAAAAAAGCTAGGCACCAGTGACTCACGCCTGTAATCCTAGCTACTCAGGAGGCTGAAATCTGAGGATTGCAGTTCAAAGCCAGCCTAGGCAGGAAAGTCCATGAAATTCTTACCTCCAATTAACTACCAGAAAACCAGAAGTGAAGCTATGGCTCAAAGTGGTAGAATGTTAGCCTTGAGCAGAAAAGCTCAGAGACATCTCCCAGGGCCTGAGTTCAAGCACCATGACGAACAACAAAAAAAAAAACAAGTGGTGGCCAGGCCTACTTTCGAGGTTCCCAGCTCTGTATAAACATTTTTTACTCGGCTCTTGCTGCCCCAACACAGATCCTGATTCTTACCTCTGGGGCAACCAAGCATAAATCAAGTTCCTGTTTTGTAACAACCTGCCAACTATCAAATCTTCCTTTTCCCTGCCATCTTCTTCTTACCCCTAGAACCATCACCTTTTTGTCACGTGGTACAATTTTTATCTTGGCCCGCATAAAAGTTGTCGCTTTGAAGGAAGCACAACATTCCAATATGCAGTAGAAACCAAAAACTAAACATCTAATTCCTTACACCAAGCCAAACCATTAAGTAAAACTAGTATGTTTTTCTACTGTACTTTTTCTTTTTTCTCTCTTTTTTTTTTTTTTTTGCTTATGTGGTGCTGAGGAATCGAACCCAGGGCCTCAGGCATGCAAGGCAAGCGCTCTACCACTGAGCCACCTTCCCAGCCCCTGTACTTTTTCTACATGATAATTAATCTTCTTCCTTGAACTCAGGAAATACTGTTCAACACATCAGAGCAAAGATGGTTTCACTAACTTGACAGGTTTTACTATCCTGACATCAAGAGTCAAATACTGTATGTCAAAAAAGCCAATGGCTTTCAGTTAACTTTGAACAAATATGTAAAGTTGAACAATGACACAAAAAATACTAGTAAACCCAAAATAAACGCCAAAAACTGAGAAAAAAAGCAGACTATAGAAGTGGCACTGTGGGGCTGGGAAGGTGGCTCAGTGGTAGAGCGCTTGCCTTGCATGCTCGAGGCCCTGGGTTCAATTCCTCAGCACCACATAAGCAAAAAGAAAAAAGCCGGAAGTGGCACTGTGCCTCAAGTGGTAGAGCACTAGCCTTGAGCTGAAGAGTTGAGGGACAGCGCCCAGGCCCAGAGTTCAGGCCCCACGACCGGACCCAAAAAAACAAAAAAGAAGTGGCACTGTGACTCAAAATAGTAGAGTGCTAGCTTTGAGTGAAAAAGCTCAGAGACAGTGCACAGGCTGAGTTTGGGCTCCAGAACTACTAAAATACAAACAAAAAACAGCAGAGTAAGGATTTAAATTGACCCTCTCCTTAACACATCAAAACCAAAAGCAAAATTAATCCAAGGAATTTATCTGCTAAAATTTAAATAAAATTTCAATGCAGTTTACATTTGATGGTAATTTGAACTCCAGATCTTTCATGTTAACGTTCAGAACTCCAAATTTCAAAATAAGAAAATTTAATAAAACTCACCAGGTCTGAATTATCACCATGGACATCATCATCATCACTGCTTTCCATGTCAACACTGAGAACTGAGGCTTCTGCACTGCTCTTCTGCCCTAGCTTGTGACCTGTGCTGTGATCCTTTGAGGAAGACCTTAGCAGGGTGGACTCTGACTTGGAAGGTGTGGCCTTCATCTTCACCTCTGGGGTTTTCTTCAACTTCATCTTCTTACACAACACTTCATTGTTAGACTTCTCTTCTAATTGAGATAGGGAGCACTTCAATTGCTCCGACGTGCAATTACTGAGTGAAAAGGGCGTAAGATAAACCCTAGCTATTTTCCCTAAAAACGTAGTCTGTATAGGTCTCAGAGATTCCTGAGCATCGTTCTCATTTTCTTTAGATTCATTCACCTATTTGGATCATTAAGGAAAAAACGGTATGAGAACCTCAGGTCCAATGGCTTTCCTCCACAGATCTGGGCAAACAAACCTAATTCCTAATGCATAATGACAACACAATTCAAATTCCCAGCCTGTAAGGGAACTTCTCCCCTCTCCCCACCCCACCCCCACCCCCACAACACACCCTCCAAAATCCTGTCACATAACTTATTAAGCTGATTATTACTGATTCTACTGGGGCCAGGTGAGTCTGCCAGGACAATAATGACTTGCATCTGCGATCCCGCGACTAATCCTAGATAATCATCTGGAATTGAGTTGGGGTTTGTTTTTTTTTTGGTTGGTTTTTGTTTTGTTTGTCGGTCGAGGGGCCTGAACTCTGGGCCTGGGCGCCGTCCCTCAGCTCTTCAACTCAAGGTGAGCACTCTACCACTTGAGCCACAGCGCCACTTCTGGGTTTTTCTGTGTCTGTGGTTCCCTGGAATCGAACCCAGGGTCTTATGCACTTTACCACTGAGGCACATTTCCACCCCTGGAATTGTTTTAAAAGTGACAATAAGGGGCTGGGAATGTGGCTCAATGGTGGAGTGCTTGCCTGGCATGCATGAAGCCCTGGGTGCGATTCCTCAGTACCACAGACACAGAAAAACCCAGAAGTGGTGCTGTGGCTCAAGTGGTAGAGCACTCACCTTGAGCAAAAGCAGCTCTGGGACGATGCCCAGGCCCTGAGTTCAAGCCCTAGAACTGACTGACACTGACTGACACACACACACACACAGAGTAACTCCTTGCACACGCGCGCACACACACACACGCACACACACACACTAACTCCTCGCAAAAGCAAACGCAGGGGACGCGGGGGAGGGGCCCAATCCTAGCATTATTTCTAGGGTTACTGATTCGAGGTTTTTCTCCTCAGCGCCGAGGGCCTCATTTTTTTTTCCTTAGAAAACCGAAGCTGGGAGTTCAGCTGAGGCCCTGGGGAGCGTGTGTCTGAACCCGTCTGCTGTTCCCCCCACACACACCCCCGGCCCCGAAAACTAACTGGACGGACGCCCGTTACCTGGGGTCGGGGTCTGGCGGCCGCCTTGGGCTCTGGCTCCGCGCAGGGCCGAAGCATCGTGCAGCAGTCTCGCGGCAGGCGCCTGTTTTCCCGCCAGGCGTGGTGCGGAGCGCGGGCGCGGGAAGGGGAGGGGCGGGGCCGGCGAGGGGCGGGGCCGGATGGGAGGGGCCGGCGAGGGGCGGGGCCGGCTGGGAGGGGCCGACGAGGAGTGGGGCGACTGGGGTGGCGCCGGCGGGGCGGGGCGGGGCCGGCTGGGGGCGGGGCCGGCTGGGAGGGGCGGGGCCGGCACAGGGCGGGAAGCCGCCGGCCCGGGCAGGAAGGCGGAGCCCGGCGCGGCCGACCTCCAAGCGGGACCCAGCGCCAGCCCCAGAACTCTTACTTTTCCTTAACGTGGGACTAATTACTTAGCCCCGGGCTGACGAAGGACCGGAGATCCAAAGCAGTGCTGCGATCTGAATCTACAGTTTTACCTAAGGACCAGGTGATTTTGATATTGGTAGTGCTGAGATCTTTAAAAAAAAAAAATTCTGGGACGGTGGCTCTGTGGTAAAGTGCTTGCCTAGCATGCATGAGGCCCTGGGTTCCATTCCTCAGCACCACATAAGCAGAAATAAATACAGAATAATAAAACAAAAAACGGGCCCCAATGGCTCACGCCTGTAATCCTAGCTATTCAGTAGGCTGAGATCTGAGGACGGCAATTCGAAGCCAGATGGATGTAGGCCTTGAGACCCTTATCTCCAATTAAGCACCAAAAGAGCCTGAAGTGGAGCTCAAGTGGTAGAGGGCTAGCCTTGAGCACTAAAGCTCAGGGACACACGCACACCCTGACTTCAAGCCCCGGGATCAGCACCTTAAAAAAAAAAGAAAAAAAAATCCTAAACCAAGCCAAATGGTATTCAGGTCTATGTATAATTCCAGCTGCTCAAGAGGCAGAAGCTGCTTCAGCCCAGGAGACGGAAACCAGCTTGGACCACATAGCAAGACCTCGTCTCAAAACAACAACAAAAAAACCTATCCACAAATACCCTTAAAGTCCTTTCCACCTCAAACTGCCTCCTTGCTCACTAGATGCCGCGCTGTTGCTTACCTGAAACAAACTGATTTCATTTTCAACCAGGATCCAATTTTACAACCAAGATGAAATACTTTTGAGTTAATCATTAAGAACACATTCACACCACCTTCCAACACCAGCTACCCGCAGAATTTAAGCCACTCTTGGACTCAAAAAGTACTAAATATTTCGCAGTGTCTTGCACTCCAGTACTAGTATTGAACTTTAGAACTACGCTCATTGTATCTCTCCTCTCCCCCACCACAGTAGGAATAAAAGCCTCTGGCTAGTAAAATGTATTGACTTTCAATCAGCCAATTTAATTTTATTCAGTGTAACCCAGCTGTAAGTTTAGAGACGGTTCTGTAGAATCACAAAGGGAATTTTCTAAGAGATCTACCCTGTAGGGCCTTATTCTCGAAGTTCTTGTTTTTTTTTTTTTTTTGGGTCCGGTCATGGGGCCTGAACTCTGGGCCTGGGCGCTGCCCCTCAGCTCTTCAGCTCAAGGCTAGCACTCTACCACTTGAGCCACAGCACCACTTCCGGCTTTTTTCTTTTTGCCTATGTGGTGCTGAGGAATCGAACCCAGGGCCTCATGCATTGCAAGGCAAGCACTCTACCACTGAGCCACCTTCCCAGCCCCTCTCGAAGTTCTTAAAGACCTCTCAAGTTAAGCTTCTTGAGGACACAGAACTTCAACACTATTCACACGTCTTCCAAAACCCTAAACACGGTACATACAGGGACTAAATAACTAGAAAATTAACATGAGAACTTTTCCAGTCTGGAATAGCCGTTCCCAAGAAAGTGGAAGACATGTAAGGTCTAGGGTTTGGCTCAGGTAGTTCGAGTACCTGACCAGAAAGCGCAAAGTCCTGAGTTTTCATCTCCATTATCGCCACAAAAATAAAGAAGGAAAAAAAAAACCCGAATAACTGAATGAATGAGTGAACGTCTGCACAGGTACTAGAAGGAATCAAAGCTCCTGGGGGGGGGGGGGTTGGGGAGGCCGGACTTTGTGCCAGGCCTCGAAAAGTTTCAGACCCTGGCTGGCCTCCATTCCCGCTACTTCTTCATCCAGTGCTTTCACTCTATTCCTTCACGTTCACTTTGCACCACCATCACTATACCCCGTTCTTCTCGGCCTCACAACAAGGATAACAAGGGAACCTTTGCATTCGAATCTTGCCAGGAACGAAGCGACCGGCAAACCTCGCGCGATTTGGAACGCGAGGCCCGCCGGGGCACACGCCCAAGGGACAGCTTGAACATTAGAAACAGCGGTAGCCGCCTCAGCGGTCCTCCGACATCCCACAATCCTCGGCTGAGACACTTCCGGTTTCTCTAGCTTGGGCGTACGTAGTCTCCGCCAGCCGCGCCGCCGCGTCGGAGTCGCCGCCGGGCGAAGCTGTTGTTGTCGTTCGTGGCCGTTTGTTTATTGTTTTGGGGACTAGTCAAGAGTTTGGGGAACCGCCGCCGCCGCCAACATGTCGGTCCCCAGCGCACTCATGAAGCAGCCACCTATTCAGTCGACGGCTGGGGCCGTCCCGGTTCGCAATGAGAAAGGTACGGTGCTCTCCCCTCATCTCCATGCCTTCCTAGGCCGTGCACGCCAGCGCCCCGGCCTGCAGCGCCCCAGCCCCCCATTCTTCCACCTGACGCCTTCCCCCCGCCCCCCCCCCCACAATTTGTACCCGGTCGCGTTGCCTAGGGGTCGTGGAGGGCGGGGGTGGGGGTGGACATCTCTCCTGATCTTGTTCCTGTATCCTGTCTGCCCTCACCTAAAAGAAGAACCCCCTCTTCCCTTGGGTCTCCACCAGATTCGGTGGACTAGCATCATGGATGCTATGGAAATGAATGTGGACTGCATGCCCTGTTGAAGGTCCCAGGTGGGGGCGGGGGGGGGGGGGAGAGGGAGGGAAAGTTACTGGAACATGTTATCATTCTTACGCAGGTGAGATTTCGATGGAGAAGGTGAAGGTGAAGCGTTATGTATCTGGAAAGAGGCCGGACTATGCCCCTATGGAGTCCTCAGATGAGGAGGACGAAGAATTTCAATTCATTAAGAAAGCCAAAGAACAAGAAGCAGAGCCCGAGGAACAGGAGGAGGACTCATCTAGTGACCCTCGTCTGCGGCGCTTACAAAACCGCATCAGTGAAGATGTGGAAGAGAGGTAATCACTAGGGTTTTGTTTCCCTAGACGTGACCCTCAATAACAGCTCATGCCTGGATGGTGCCTACTGTGTGCAAATACACTTTTTTTTTTTTTCTGCCCGTACCGGAGCTGAACTCTGGGCCTGGGTGCTGTCCCTCAGCTCTTCAGCTCAAGGCTAGCTCTCTCTACCACTTGAGCCAAAGTGCCACTTCCAGTTTTCTGAGTGGTTTATTGGAAATAAGAGTCTCAGGGACTTTCTTGCCCAGGCTGGCTGATCTCGATACCTCTGGAGTAGCTAGAATTACAGGTGTGAGCCACTGGTGCCCAGTTCTGACATTTTTTTCTGTGTGTGTATTGGTCATGGGGTTTGAACTTTGGGCCTGGGCACTGTCCCTGAGCTTTTATAATCAAGGTTAGTGTTCTTACCACTTGAGCCATAGCTCCACTTCCAGCTTTTCTAGTACTTTATTGGAGATAGTCTTACAGGCTTTCCTGCTCAGGCTGGCTTTGAACCTTTGAACCATAGTCCTCAGATCTCAGCCTTCTGAGTAGCTAGGATTACAGGTATGAGCCACACCAGTACCCAGCCTTTTTTGTTCTTTTCATTATTATTATCATCATCGTGTGTGTGTGTGTGTGTGTGTGTGTGTGTGTGTGTGTTTTGCTAGCCCTCTACCACTTCAGCCATAGTTACATTTCCAGCTTTTTGGTAGTTACTTGTGAAGAGTCTCACAGACTTCTTTGCCTGGGCAGGTTTCGAACCATGATCCTCAGATCTCAGCCTCTGGAGTAACTAGGATTATAGGTGTGATCCACTGGCAACTGACTGCATTTTTATTATATTAAGTAGTTGTACAAAGTAGTTAACATTCAACAAATCAGTTTGTTTGACATTCTTGCTTAGTTTGTTCATCTGCAACTCAATTTCATCTCAGTATTTCTGTTTTAATGAAAGCAATGGTGTCAGAGGGCTCTGCAACTGAACAAATGTGGTTGATAATTCTTTTTTTCTGTGACATTGGTGTTATACTCGAAGGTCCTATGTTTCAGATTGGCTAGACATCGGAAAATAGTGGAACCTGAAGTGGTAGGAGAAAGTGACTCTGAAGTAGAAGGAGATGCTTGGCGGATGGAGAGAGAAGATAGCAGTGAAGAAGAGGAAGAAGAAATTGATGATGAGGTAGGATAAAGGAAAATAATTTTTCTCAGGTACCAAAAAATACTTTTTTTTTTTTTGGTCGGTCGTGGGGCTTGAACTCGGCCTGGGCGCTGTCCCTCAGCTCTTCTGCTCAAGGCAAGCGCTCTACCACTTGAGCCACAGTGCCATTTCCAGTTTCTGAGTGGTTTATCAGAGATAAGAGTCCCACAGGCTTTTCCTGCCCAGACTGGCTTTGAACCGTGATCCTCAGGTCTCAGCTTCCTGAGAAGCTAGGATTACAGGCATGAGCCAGAGGTGCCAGGCTAATTTTTTTTTTTGGGGGGGGGGGGGGAGGAGTCCGGTCGTGGGACCTGAACTCTGGGCCTGGGCGCTGTCCCTCAGCTCTTCAGCTCAAGGCTAGCACTCTACCACTTGAGCCATAGCACCACTTCCAGTTTTTTCTTTTTTGCTTATGTGGTGCTAAGGAATCAAACCCAGGGCCTCAGGCATGCAAGGCAAGCGCTCTACCACTGAGCCACCTTCCCAGCCCAGGCTGCCTCATTTTTTAAGACACAAGATTATTATTCCTATATGTTACAAATAAAACTGAAAATAAAATAGTGCTAAATTGCACTAATTGTCACAATTCATTGAGCTTTTTTTAAAAAATGGTGCTGGTACTGGTACGTAGGGACTTGAGCTTATATTTGGCTTTTGTACTC